TGTTATATTCTATATATAGTATTATTGTAAATTGTGTGTTATCACTCGAAATCATTCCGAACTGACGGTAGATTTGACATATCATAAGAGTCTGTAATAGACCTACATGAATAAAGATATTTCAAATTTAAATTTGAATTTGAATCCTTTTCATCTATTTTTTTTTTATTATTATTATTATTACGACTGATTTAATAGTGTTGTGCATTTCATATTTTGACTCTAATAGTACTAGTTGGTAGTTAATATTCAGACATTTCGACTCAAAAATATAAAGTTACAACTAAATTATTTGAAAGAGCAACACGCAAGTTTCTTGCTCGTTCTTCTTGTGATGAGACAGCTTTCCGAATGAGCGGTAGATTAAAAAAATAATTATGACTATACAATAGTGCTTCAATGTAAGTTTATTTGAATAAAGGATTTTCTATTCTATTCGGAACGCAGAATCATGTAGACATTAAGAATGTGCAAGAAATTTGTATGTTGCCCTTTTAAATTAATTTTGTTTTAATTACACATTAACACATAGGAGGCATGGACAATCAACATACAAACTGTTATATTCGTATTTGTGCAATCAGATAATAAGTGAATTTCAAGTTATTGTAGTTATATATTTACCATTTTTTCTTTATATTACTGTTTGTGTTTGTGTTACCTTTTGTGTGCCATTTGTAGCGCGGTGGTTATAATCGAGTTGAATTCTTCCAACTCGAGTTGGCAGAATTCAACTCAAGTTAACTCGGGTTAGTAACACGAGCTGACACCTCTCTAACAAAAACTACTGAACGGATTTTGATGAAACTTCACAGTAATATACAACCATACAAACTTTCACGTGTTAGGATTGACTAGGTCCATTCACGTCACAGACAGCCGTGTGGATGACGCATGCTCAGATCGTACCGTGAGTGTAGATTTACGCTGAAGTACCCACTTTCGACTTGAGTCTCGTGACATGTAGGAGGTCTATAGTTTTGAGGTACTGCCTATTTTCCTAGCTGTTTATTAATCTTACTAAAATTATAAACACGACAGTTTGTGAGTTTATTTTTTTTTTATTAGGTTGTTTGCCAGATGGCTATTGCCAGATGTTTGTAGCACCTGTAGCACTGCGACCTGCATAGATCTATTGTGCTCGCCCTTTTTCAACGTCTGCTACCTAGACCCGTCAGGGACAAGAATTGAAGGATATTCTTAGGAGCGATCGTTTTTATCTCCTCGGGAAAGAGTGTAAACTTTCCAAAGGAGATATTTCGTTTATGCATGAGTGGGCTACAACCACATAGGATGTGAAGCGGCGTTTCCTCTTCAGTTTGGCAGAATCTGCAGATACTTGTCGTGCATAGGCCTAGTTTGGCCATATGCTTGTTTAATTTGCAGTGTCCTGTGAGGGCCCTAGTCATCATGCATATGTTGTTTTTACTCAATAGCAGTAGTATATTGGAGTATTTGTTCGAGTAGCCCGATATTATGGCTTTTAAAATGATGTTGATTTGTTTGTAAGTATGGATGTTTGTTACTCTTTCACGCAAAAACTCAACGGATTTTGATGAAACTTTACATTAATATAGCTTATACATCAGAATAACATATATGCTATAAATTTCGCAGCTAGTATTGTTTTATTTCTTTTTTTTTATATATCTAAACATTGTATAATTATAATTTATTTAGTGTAGTATAAGCATCATAATTCGTTTAACTTATATCACATTTCGGTTGGGGGCTGGTCATCTGTATTACAGGTTATGCCTATCTCAGACACCAGCTCCTCACAACAAATCGATTCAAATAATAAATTTAAGTATTTTACTATAAATAATACTACATGTATTGTTGCCATCATGTTTGAGGAGAACTGGACGGATCGGGCTGAAATTTGGCATGCAGGTAGATGTTATGACGTAGGCATCCGCTAAGAATTTTGATTAATTCTACCCCCAAGGGGACAAAATAGGGGATGAAAGTTTGTATGAAACTTTGTAAATTTTAAACCGATCGGGCTGAGACTTTGCACACATAAAGCTACTATGACGTAGGCATCCCCTAAGAAAGGATTTCGATAAATTCCACCCCTAATTGAAATAAAACCATTATAGTCATATTTTCAAACATTTTATTCACGAATCCTTTCAAATCTTCAATAGCCATATAGTTAAACACTAAATATTATATATTAACTTACAGTTTATTAAATTCGAAAATTTTATACATCATATTAATATAATATTGCACATTAATTTAAGACGAAACTGTTATATTAAATAAATAACATCACATTGTTTTAATTATAAATACACTGTACATGTAATAACCCTGGACAATTCACACAGCGCCATCTAGTCCCAAGTTAAGCAGAGCTTGTGTTATGGGTACTAGACAACCCATAACACAAGCTTTGATTAGCTCAGAACTAGATGGCGCTGTGTGAATTGTAACAGTATTATTATTTACATATATTATGTAGGTCTTATAGAAATACTAAGATAAAATTACTGTGTACTTGTTTATTAATTAATTATTATGAAATAATTTATGTACAAGTATAGAAATGGTAAGATTTATAGATTGACGCTATGTTACAATAATTTACAATTTCAAATTTGAAGTACAGTTCAGTAGATTTTTAAATTAAACCATAATGTGACCAGTTTTGGCGCAATACAAAATTATAAGTCTGCTAATACCTGAATAATAATATTCAGAAATAAATTTTGATTTAAGTTAACGGGAAAGGGATGAAAAATTAAAAAAAAAATGTCGAAAAAGGGATGGAGTAATTAAAAAACTGTGTTGAAAAACGCCTTTTTTCAAAATAACTCGATAACGGTAAGGAATATGAAAAAATGTTTCAAATGAAAGTTGTAGAGAATAAAATTCTGCACAAAACTGGTTCTCTTCGTTTTTTCATTATGTGGTATTGTTTAGACACAAAAATTAAAAAAATCATTTATCTCAACAAAAAATATATACAGTGAAACCTGGATAAGTGAGAAATCTCTATTATTGAGAATTGCTTGAGACGTAGGTTTCCCCTAAGAAAAGATTTTGATAAATTCCACCCCTAAGGGGATAAAATAGGGGATGAAAGTTTGTATAAATCTTCTTAGATTTTCAACTGATTGAACTGAAATTAAAGATTGGAGCTACTATGATGAAGTAAATAAAATTGGAGTGTCTGTTTATATTGAAATAACCGCTTTTTACTACATGCATATGAATATAAATACGGTACATACACCAAAATAACATTTTTTACAATTTTTGTCTGTCTGTGTGTCTGTTTGTTCCGACTAAGTTCTGAAATGGCTGGACCGATGATGACGGTACTTTTTTTGGTAGGTAGCTAATGTAATAAGGAGTAATTTAGGCTTTTATTTTAGAAAAATAAAGTTAAATTCCACGCGGACGAAGTCATGGTAACAGCTAGTAAGAAATAAATGAAGGAGTATACAATGTAATTCTTATACCACGCCCAAGCATACGGCCTAACTGAAGCATTATATTTGTAACAATAATTTGCTATTACAAATAAATAAAACAAATGCATTGAAGAGATAAGAACTAACGTAAGTATGTAATTATATAAATAACCCATTGTTTTGATACATTTATATAAATAAAAATTAGTATTTATATTACAATATGAATAAATAATAATTATACATATTTATACAACGTTATATCACATTTATTTACATATAATTACAATAACAACTATAATATAATTAAAAATTAGATTAAGAATAATTTATTTAATAATATTATTTAACAAAATAATCAATAAATAATATCACAAAACTTGCTTGAACCATAATTATGGTAAAAAGACATACAACCATCTCAATGATCCACTACTAGAGTCAAAAACACATTTTTTATTTATTATAGTATAGTTGACAAACGAGCTTACGGCTCACCTGATGGTAAGTGATTACCGTCGCCTATGAGCACCCGCAACACCAGGGGAATTACAAGTGCGTTGCCAGCCTTTTAAGAAGGAATAAGCTCTTTTCTTGAAGGTTTCAATATCGTATCGGTTCGGAAATACCATTGCTGGAAGGTGATTCCACAATGTGGTTGTGCGTGGCAAAAAGTTTCTAGAAAACCGCACTGTGGAGGACCGCCATTCATCCAGATGATCAGGATGGTATTTTAGTTTTTGGCGGGTGGTACGGTGGTGAAACTCAGCAGCTGGTATTAATCCGAACAATTCCTCAGAACACTCACCGTTGTGCGTGGCAAAAAATTTAAGGAAAGCTTCTGAGGAAATCAAGATTTTAAAACAATAATAAAACAACTTCATTGACAAAAAGACTTTACTGCTAGAAACATTCTCTACCAGTCAACCTCTGGAGTGAAGAATGAGAGTTAAACGGACTCATTGTTTTAGATGGTTATGGGTTTGATTCCTCGCTTGGTGCAATCATTTGTATTCATGAGTATGATTGTTTGTATCGGTCTGGGTGTTTTCTATGTATATTATGTATGTATTTACAAAATAAAAATATTTCTAAATATGCGTTGTGTAGTTACAAATAATCATGAGTTAGTAGAAATTTGAACCGAGCAGAAATGTACTGATGTTTTTTACATGTTTTCGAGGATGCTCCTGAACCTACGAGGAACTTTCTCTAAACTTCATAACAAAACTTACTTAACCATCTTAGAAATTTTGGACCGGGTCGATATTGGTCTCTTTGACTTGCTATAACACAATTCTCGATCAATTTGATGATTAACCATCATGTTTTGGTCGAGAGGAAATTCGTCGTCTTGACCTGTTTCTGGCTCGCAGCCTACATTATCACTTTATACAAAGTCTATTACTTAATACTATTCAATTATATACAATTTTAGATAATTTTAATCGTTACTGTGTGAAAAATCTAGACTAATTCAACAAAACACACAAAAGACCAAAATGGTGACTCTGAGTTGCTTGCTCTCCGTCCAATTCAAACGGGGTTCGAAATCACGACCTGAGTCGAGGATCGAACCCCTAGCGGTGTCCTCAAACTAAAGTCGTATCCGTCAGGCGGGAGTTGGCCTTCAGCCGCTCCATAAGTTCTTCCACGGATTTGGAGTGCACCACATCTGAACTCGCCCCCTATCGTCCGGTGAAGCTGTTAGACTAGTTATATCCAAGGCCAAAAAGTAATATAGGTCAGAAAGACCCGTCGCGTCCTATCCGGTGAAGCTGTAAAACCTTGCCAACATTAATATGTTTCAAGAAAAAATCTGAGCTGCTATAACTTGGAGAAGTATTGCCACCAACAAAAATTACCTCCTAATCTTCCTAGGAAACCTAATAGAACCTAACTGATCCTTGTTGAGACGTCATTTCTTCCCCCCTATCCCTCCTATTAGGCCCTGAGCGGAGGACAGAGTGGCCAGCGCAATCCTCTCACTGTTAGTGGAAGATAAGCTTCTATCTTGATTACTGGTCACGGATAGCAATCGCTCAGCGGAATTTAACGAGCTAAGTGACAACCGGTTGTCTGGTAACCGGTCTGAGCCGGCCGTAACCGGTGTCTGATTGCTGCTGGTTGCCGTGATTGGTGTGGTTGATCTGGTTAACGTTTTAGCTAGAGTGGTTGCGGTTGCAGGAGGCGAGGTGCGGAGCAATGCTGTTGGTTTCTGGTCACGGCCGCTGCATACCTGAAAAGGTTTATAAAATTATACTTTTTCTTATATAAACACTATTATCTTATATATAATCGCTAAATGTGTTGGTAAGCGCTAATCTCGAGAACTACCGAACTGATTTCGATAATTCTTTTTTTAGAATATTTCTTGAGGTACGAGGATGGTTCTGACGGAGAGAAAAATTTAAAAAATTGCCTAAAATGCCTAAATACACCAGTTTTCTGTAATCCCATACAAACAATTCTTAATGATACTTAAAAGTCAATTTGAACTTTAATACCATACCATAAAGTTCAAATGTTAGTGGAGAGGTTCCGGGAATTGTTTAGTATAGAAATCAGTAATAAAATGTCACTTGAAATGTAAATGTCTCATTGATATGTATTTATAATATTACTACAAATCTAAAAGAAAAATTTAATAAGTGTTGTGTGATTGTAACTCATTTATACTCGACAAGCCTCTTATAAGATATGCCTCCATAATGTTCAACAGTCAAGTCTAAGGTCTGCAAGGTCCATTAATAAGGCGACGGAAATATTTAGACAGAAGAGCCCGAAATGCAACGAATCTCATCTAATCGTACTGCTCAGGAAGAATCGACAGTTAGGCGATACGAAGTTCGCCGGGCCAGCTAGTTTATTTATAAAATTATTCAATATAATTTGAACATAAATCTTTACTGATATTATAAAAATGATAGTAACTCTGTATGTCTGTCTGTCACACCAAAAACCCAATTTAAATTAAAGTTGGTACACAGATAGTCTAGATCCTCCCACCTCCCCCCCCCCCCCCCCCCCCCCCCCTCCCTCCCCTTCCTCTCCCCCTAGTACTCACGAAATACTTGAAAGGCTCCTAAGATAATAACAGTCGGACTTATAGCATAAGCAATATTTTCCAGACAACCTTTGGGCAGAGGAGAGAAGACAGAGGTCTTAGTGATATTTGTAAGAAGAAGAGTCCATAATATCTCATTGCTTCCTTGATTAAATTATTTTAGAAATATGAAAGCGTAGCGGTTTTTGTATTGTTTGCCGCATGCATTCTTATGTGAAATGTGAATACTATAACCATTAGATGGCAATTGTGAGTAGCTATGACGAGGTCTGGTGTTTTGAGTAGTCATGCTCACTAAAATGTCCAGACTTGTGGCGGCGTGGTGGGCCGGGTCAGTGGGCTCCCTAAAATATGGTCGAGCGCAGTGGTGGCTGGCTCATCCGTCATACTCGTGAACGGGTTCTGCTTGTGTGGACTGGTCTGCTCTAATCACTATGACTTATTTTCTCTTATTAATTTTAACCAGTTGTTGTATATTGAGTGTTTTTTCTATTTTATTATTTCATTGAATTAGTACTAATCGGTGGTTTGTATTCACACACTTAAACTTAAATTGTAAGTAAGAATAAATTATTTAAAAGAGCAACACATAAGTTTCTTGCTTGTTCTTCTTGTGATGAGACAGCATTCCGAATGAGCGGTAGATTAAAAAAAAATGTTATGACATAAATGATTTTCTATTCTATTCTATTCTATTCTCTTCTTACCTGGTGATGATTCTCCCAGTCCTTGTGTTGACAGAACGCACCGCAGTACCTGGCGGCGTTACACCCGGAACAAGTTTCTTGAGCCTTACGGCCGCAGTTCCAGCAACACTAGACAAATATTATAAATAAATAAATATGAAACTAAAGCTTGTGTTATGAGTACTAGACAACTGATACAAATATACGTGGATATCTTTTTTTTTTGTAAATATATACATATTATATATAGAAAACACCCAGACCGATACAAAGAATCATACTCATGAATACAAATGTTTACACCTTGCGAGAAATCGAACCCGCGACCAACGGAAGTAAAGCGGTATGCTAATCCGCTAGACAACCAAGCCCATCATCATTACATATATAAAATAAAGTCGCTGTCGCTGTCTCTCCGTCCCTATGTATGCTTATATCTTTAAAACTACGCAACTGATTTTGAAGCGGTTTTTTTTATAGATAAAGTGATTCTAGAGGAAGGTTTTATACATATAATACATGTACACCCGTGTGAAGCCGGGGCGAGTAGCTAGTATAACATTATAATGTGCTTATTAGGTGCGTATATAGGTCACATTAGACATTTACCATAAGCTGAAGCTACAGTAAGTTAACAGTTCTTATTTAAAAAAATGTTTGCACTTAGCTTCGCATAGTTAGACACGCATTTCGCGAAATAATTTAACTTTTTTTAAATTTTTCTTAACCCATTTCCAAAAAACAGCAATATTCATAATATTAAAACTAAATTTAAAGATAAACTTGCTCTCCCCAAGTATCGTTTAGAAAAAGTCAATAGGTCTTTTATGGGAATAGGTATAAAATTTACAATAAGATACCAAAGGATATATTGGAATTACCCTTAAATAAATTCAAAACATCTGTTAAATCATATTTACTGAGCAAAGCCTACTCACTAAACGATTACTTGAATGTCGAGCGTGCATGGCAATAGTTGTTCATGCACGGGATTTTCATTTAATGTTAGACATAGACACCTATATAAATATACATTGTAAATAAACTGGCTTTTAAAAATAATAATAATAAGTAATTCAATTAAGTTTCTTGCCAGTATCATAAGCGGCTAAAATGTCCTACATGAATAAATTATTTTTGAATTTTATTAAATATATATTTATAGACTACATGCCGGAAATACTTACATTCTGTTGACCGGATGCGTTTGGACTCAAGTCCCTACCAGGGGGAGGACTGTGCCGCCTTTCTCCCATCCGGTCCATCTTGCCCCGTTCTGCTGCCACCAGCTCTAGTGCCTTAGACTCTGCAGCACCAACCGCCCTTTGGAGTTCCAATAACGCTTGGCGTTTCACCTGTAAGGAATCCTTTTCAGGTATGAATATAGGTATAGTAGTTACTATATTGATGATGTCAATACCTGATGGATTTACATCGTTTTGTTGAATTCCACTACAATTAAGTGTGAGACCACAAATATTCGGTATTGAAACTTGATTACCGTTACGACCTTCTCTAATGGTGATCAAATCCCGACCGTTATTGAGTCTAAACCAATATTGCGACACGTGTTTCGTCTCTGAACGAGGCATCATTAAGCGTTTGAATAGAGTTCGGATATAGCTTGGAAGCGTTGACTCTTCGGCGACCAAACATCAAGTAGTGAAATGGACTTCCGTAAAATAACACCTAATTCGATTAAATATATACTCGAATCGTTTTTTGATAGATTTATAAAATACTAGCTTTTACCTGCGGCTTCGCTCGCATTGAATCCATTGCATATAACCTCAATAATTCCAATTAGCTTAAAGTATAGTCAATTGATTTATAACTTCATTGCTGCCTACTAGATAGCGCTGAAGTAGCAAAATGTAGATTTTTTTATAAAAATATTTGTGTTTTTTAAATAAAAAGTATCCAAACAACTCCAATAACATGTGTATAAAATTTCATGATGATCGGTTCCGTAGTTTTTGCGTGAAAGCGTAACAAATATCCTTACTTTCACGTTTATAATATTAGTAAGAATTCACTGGTAAAATAACTTCTAATAGAATTAGAATAGAATAGAAAATCCTTTATTCGAATAAACTTACATTTAAGCACTTTTGAGTGGTCATACTAATTGACATTTTTAAGTTGAAATGTGTGAATTCAAAGTACCAACTATATAAACAATTGTGAATGAATATCATGTAATTTGTAATGTGCAAATCAGGGATGTCAGGGAGATCCGGAACTGTAACCGAAACTATCGGATATCCGATACAAAAAAATATCCGTAACCGTAACCGAATCCGAAATCAAAGTTTCGGATAATATGGAATAGGGGCGGAGCCTTATTGAGACACGTTATGTGACCATTTTATTAACTACTTGTATTTTCATTTGAAATATCTAAAAAAAAGTAAAATCCGTAACCGAAATTATCCGAAACTAACGGATAATCCGAAATAATTTCATATCCGTATCTGTATCCGGAATAATAATCATTCCTATATCCGAAACCTATCCGTATCCGAAATTTCATATCCAGAACATCCCTGATGCAAATGCTAATTCTATAATAAACGTATAAAAATTGAATCGTTTTTTCAATTTCGACACATTTTTTGAGCAAGCGAGCGTGATCTCATTTGTCCCCTCTCACATCCCATAATAATCCCAGAAGATAGGACGGTGGTCAGACCTGGTTGACGGCATCTTCAGCTCGTCTCCTGACTTCAGCCACCCTCTCCTCGGTCTGCCGCACTGCCGTCGCCATGATCTCGCTGGCTGCACGTTTTATATCACTGCTTTCAGTTGGTTCTACTCCTGTATACAAAATATATTTTCAATAATGGTATGTTAAGGTTTCTTAAGGGTCGGCAACGCGCACGTGACACCCCTGGGGTCTCAGGCATCCATTGGATGTGGTAACAATTTACCATCAGATGGGCCATATGCTTGTTTATCACCATCGTAGTACAAAAAAATGCATGTAAGTATATGGGACAAAGTTACCTAGACACATCAATGCAATATTAAGACAAATCCAATATTGTGTACTAAGCACAGCCGTGTCTAAACTGTGTCACCCCACCTTACATTTTATATCTATTGTCATTTAGTGTATAAGATCAATATTTTTATGTACATATTCCCCTCCAATCGATCCCCCGTCCAATTCAAACGGGGATCGATGTTACGACGGCCTGAGCTGAGGTTCGAACCCCTAGCGGTGCTCTCAGTCTAAAGTTGTATCCGTCAGGCGGGAGTTGGCCTTCAGCCGCTCCATAAGTCCTTCCGCGAGTTTGGAGTGCCATCTACACTCGCCCCCTAACGTCCGGTGAAGCTGTAAAGGCCAGCTGCGGCCAACAGCATTAGAGTAGTCAGAAAAAAATGTACATATTGTCAGTCTATTATCACCTGTAATATACATCGTCTCAACCAACAACATCGTATCATTACCCGCAACACGCACCATTCCTTTACCATCCATTAAAAAAATATAACAGATCTATTAGACTTGACGACCTCGGTGGTCTAGCGGTCTAGCACACCGCTTTACGACCGATGGTCGCGGGTGCGATTCCTCGCACGGCACGAACATTTGTATTCATGAGTATGATTGTTCGTATCGGTATAATATGTATTTACAAAAAAAAATATCTAGGTATATGTATCAGTTATCTAGTACCCATAACAAAAGCTTTAGGTAGCTTAACTTGGGTCTAGATGGCGCTGTGTGAATTATTAAACATGACAAGATTGTATGTAGTTAGATAACTCCAGTTCGTCTCACCTCTCTGCTGCAGTATTGCCAGCGCCCTCTTCGTCTTCTCCACCATGCTGAGTATGCAGTTCAGCATTGTGTTTATGTTCTTCCACTCATCATCACCTTTCAAGGATCCAGCCGTCCCCGGCCCCAGGGTCCTCGGTTCAGTGAACGATGCGTTCATTGATGATACGTCGCGAACTGTGATACCACCTGATGAAGAAACTTCCTTTACATTATCTAACATTGTTTTTTTTTCTTATTATAATTTATTAATCATCATTATATAGTATAAAACAAAGTCGCTGTCGCTGTCCATCCGTCCATGTATACTTAAATATTTAAAACTACGCAACGGATTTTGAAGCGGTTTTTTTAATAGATATAGTGATTCAAGAGGAAGGTTTATATTTATAATACATGTACACCCGGGCGAAACCGGGGCGAGTAGGTAGTAAACTATAAGTATGCGAAATTCTCCATACGCGCAATTTTCGTAAAAAGAAGTACTTAGTTTCTGCTTCAAGTATTAATATAATAAATGTACAATGATGTTATACTTAGTACTTTCATAGTAATATTTTTTACAAAGGGTTTAAAAAAAAACAAAAAACAAAGCAATTCAATTAAGTTTCTTGCCAGTTCTTCTCAATTGGATCTATATACTGAACTGGACGGTAGGGAAAAAATTATAATTATAATGTAAAAAGTTTGACGTTTATAAGCGGCTAATGTGTCCTACATGAATAAATGATTTTTTAATTTGATTTTGAATTAAACGTCAATTATTTGTTTCTATAACACTCTTACCGTCTCTTCTTTCGAAGCTGCTTTCCCCTTGAGAGCCATGGTATCCTTGGTAAGGGTGGCCATAGTCAAACAGACTGGCATTGCTCGGTAGGGGGTAGAGGAACGGGGAGGGGTTCATGAACAGGCTGGAGGGGGGAGGACGCTTCGGCTGAGGGGGATACTCATCATGGTGCACTCCATTGGTCTGGACAGCATCATAGAATCTGAAACAAAGAGTTATTATATTAACTTTTTTTTTTCTGGTCAATTAACACAGCGCCATCTAGTCCCACGGAAAGCAGGGCTTGTGTTATGGGTACAAGACAACTGATATAAATACATAGATTTTTTTTTTCGTAAATACATATTATACATAGGAAACACCCAGACCGATATAAACAATCATACTCATGAATACATCTTTGCACCGTGCGAGGAATCGAACCCGCGACCATCGAAAGTAAGGCGGTGTGCTAAACCACTAGACCACCGCGGCCCTCTCCATATAAATCTGAACCCGTCGTTCCCATAAATTCCGAACTCATCCACTTACAAATAAAATCGATACGCACAAAAGATATGGGCGGTCACAACTCTACCTAACAATAAGTTGATTCACAACTTTGAAGCTACAAAAGGAGAGGAGACAATGAAAAACTTTCAACTAATTATAGGCGAGGGGATTAATAAATACACGCACAAGTCATAAGATTATAGCGTTTGATCTGTAACTTTTATTTCGGACTACTCTAATGCTGTTGGCCGCAGTTGGCCTTTACAGCGTCACCGGACGATAGAGGGCGAGTGCAGATGACACTCCAAACCAAAGGAAGGACTTATGGAGCGGTTGAAGGCCTGCCGCCTGACGGATACGACTTTAGTCTGAGGACACCGCTAGGGGTCCGAACCTCAGCTCAAGATACGCAATATAATTCATAATAATAAATTTATTTGTAGATTTTGGGTACATACATATATGATATTATACAAAAACACGGGCCTTGCAAAATCTGCTTATATCAATTAAATTATCGATTGTTTATATAATTATTAATTATTGTATATGTCATTTTATATCTATATAAATCTAAATGCCGAGGTATTTCGTTTTCGACCGGATGCTTTGGCCGAACAGTTCGATCGTTTTCGACCACTGTTTTGAACGGATGCTTTTTATAATTTGTGTCCCAAAAATGAACAGTTCGAAAATTTGTGTAATCGAGCGGGCCAGTTGTGATGTTGGTGATTCAAAAAAATGCCAACAGTTTCAGCTTTAAAAAATCGAAAAATTGCCTGTCTATTAATTGACATAAATAAACCAAGTTTTGAGTCAAAGAATGAATGGTCGTTATTCACGAATTTTTACACGGGATTGAATGCTATTGTGTTTACTGTAAAAATATTTCGACTTTATACACGTGTCGCTTTTAAGCGCAGCTGCAGGTAACGACGGCTTGAAGGTCGCGCAGCTGCGATTCTAATGTTACACGTGCCGTGCGATAAGGATTCTAGGAAGTGGACGGTGGCACGTGTAGAAACTGTGTTGCTACAATATTATAAACACGAATGTTTGTGACTGTGGATGGATGGGTGGATGTTTGTTACTCTTTCACGCAAAAACTACGAACTCTATTATTGTAAAGTTTCATTAAAATCCTGCTTTTATTATTTAAAACATAAAGAAATATTCCAACAGTTCAGAGAGTAGGTAATTTTGAACCATGAGGAACTATCAACAAACTCTTGCTATTTTTAAATGACTTTATACCTACATTATTACATATATATATTTATGTTTAAATGAACTTAGTTTAAAAGGACTACATATAGATAAAATATATATCTGTTAGTACTTTTGGATAGTAAATTAATATTTTAAAGAATGTAAATGTATAAAGTTTATGACTTGTGCCACACCACAGCGCGAGCCAATTGCATTGTTCGTTCTAACGCCTGCAATTGAGCTTCTATAACCTATTGATTTAGCGTTTCACTGAACTTTTGCGTATAATTGCAAACAACAATTTGTTTTGTTCGACAATTTAGGATTTTTTAAGAAAGGGCTAGTAGCATGGCCTATTTAAAAGAAGTATAGAGGTGTAATTTTGATGTTGCTCTCCGCTAATTCTTTATTGAAAGATTAATTCTTTATCTATAGTTTTATTGTTTGAATCAACTTAACAAACTAGGTCAAAACTTAATTATATAAAAAAAAGTAACAAAATTAGTAATAGACGGTAATTAAGAATATTTATTATATTCAAATTAAACACGATTTATCAAAGTTCTAAAGTGTAGTTTCAAACACAACACGTGTCGGCCAGGCGGCTGTAAGCGTTTGTAAACGCCTGAATGTTTGCGCGCAGCAATTAGTTCACGATTTAACTTTGCGTTGCTAATTGCTAGTACTCCAGTGGCAGGGGCTTGCGTGTTTTCTTGTGATGTGATTGATAACCTGTATATATTATACGTAGTGAGTATCAAAGTTTAAAAAAATCATTATATTATTCTTTAATAAATGTCATATTAAATTAATTTTTTAAACTTTTATTTGATCCCAATGTATTTCTATCTCAAACTACCTCAGTAGTATCAATTACCACTATATTTATAAATTTATAAACTTACTCAGGTTTCTTTTAACATTAAGATGTTAATTATATAATATAACATAAATTGTATGAGTTAAATGTCATAAACTGTCACATATTACGATATAGTATATTTAAAAGATTAACCATATGTATAGGAATAGTAGGAAAGTCTATAATAGTAGAAATTAATGAATACTGGTCAACAATATAAACTAAAATATTTTCTGTATCACTGTAATATAGTAATGAGCATCCCTAAGCACAGGATTATTTTCTATTTAGGGAGCAGGTTGGCAATCTAATTTATTTATATTATATTTATTATTATACATTATATTATACCATTAATAAATTAAAAAAAAGTGAAATATTCGTAATTTTTGAATAAAATTATAAATTTCATTATATCTCAAATATTTTTCCTGATTGCAGCAACACTTCTACGGGTAGCGGGTACCGTCTGCGTAAGCTATTAACAGTAGCGCCTGCCGGCTGCCGGCCATAACGAACTTCTGATCGTGGTAATTGCTAACAGCGAGCGGCAGGCGCTAGATCGTTACCGCCAAATTGCTCAACTGTAAAACTTCCAATTATTTTTTGAGATACTTGAAATTCGATCACTTTTTTAAAAAGGACTAACTTAATAATTGACGTTTACTTAAAAGACGACCGTGAATAGTATTTGTTGTTTAAGCACAGAAATATTAATTAATTTTTTTCCATTTTCTTATGTTTATATGATACGTAAAAATTGAATATGTTAATGATAAAATGACTTTCAAAGATAGCACCGATAAAACATTTTTTCTATAAACTAGCGCCAGCGAATTGTAACTTGTGTACATTGGTATCGCTAAATATACTTAGATAATTATTGCAAATAGCTTTTACTATTTGTACGGACTCATTATTATCATCTTATTGACAACTAGGTGTGCTCGCGGTTTCACCCGCGGGAAATTTACAGCCTGTGTTATTCCGATGTATAAACTATATTACTGTAAAGTTTCATCAATATCCGTTGAGTAGTTTTTTTCGTGAAAGAGTAACAAACATCCATCCATCTAATCACCCATACTCATTACTCACAAACTGTCGCGTTTATAGTATTAGCACAGATAAGATAATATTACATATGTACAGATACCCCTTCCATACGAGAATATGGTTCCTTCCTAACTCGGGCTATTTTCGGGCTATTTGTAATACTAATGCTACGTTTATATTCAGCCGCTTCCCCTGCCACTCGCGCTGCTGGAAATATTGCCGGGCGACAACTGAGCGAGAGAGCTGAATGTAAAAACACGCTGTCACTCGCGCTGCCAGTCCTTTGACTAGCGCATGAAAAACCCTACAATCGAGGGAGCGCCGGGCAGCGCGAGTGGCAGCGCCAATGGTATGGGAAGTGTTTCCATTCGTGTTTACACTCTCACGCTGCTCACTTCCTGGCCATTTGGGATGAGTGTAAATTGGGCATAAGATACTGCATATGATTTAAATTTAGTCACTTATTTAGTTTTATATGTTTTTGTTCTATATTACGTGTGTGCTAAAACACAAATAAATCGTTCATCTAATATAAAGGATTGCTAGTTTAAAATAACAAAATAGTTTTAGAAAATTTCTACAAGCACTAGAGGCGGGAGATTTGATGGAAACAGCTGTCCAGATCATTACAACAACGGCCTATAGCCACCACGTACTGGGTCATAATTTCACGCGTCTAACGGATGAGGGTAGAATTAAAAGCCAATAGCGTCCGCAGGCGACGCGAAGCGTCGTGCCAAATGCGGGCGCTGTACTCATAAAGTAGAATATGGGCACCGGTCATGAGGAAATATTGACCAAACGCCTGGTTTACGGCCAACACGATGTTTTAAGGGTGGATATCCCCAACCCCATTCTACACAAAACGTTGTACTATTAAAATTGAACGGGTGCTGCTTGTGAAGAGTGGTCTATTCGGGTTATGAACACTGATTAGACTATTTGCTTTTGCTAAATTGCAATAGCATATGCTGGTGGTAACTCTGTTCTCCCTAATTTAATTTAAAAATCAATCTGTATTATTGTAAACATGTACAACATTTATTTGAAAATAATACAAGCTGAGTACCTTGTCAGTTCTTCTTATCTCGAAATCATTCCAGATCGACGGTAGATTTGACATATCATAAGAGTCTGTAATAGACCTACATGAATATTATAAAGACGAAAGTTTGTTCAAATCAGTTGTCTAGTATCCATAATACAAGCTCTGCTTACCGTGGGACTAGATGGCGCTGTGTTAATTGTTGAGAGTTATTATTATTATAATTAATTCTGCAAACGCCTGTCAAAATAATAACAGCACAATAAACAGACGTCCAAATTGCTATGAAGCTCGCGGCAGGATTCTTCAATTTATCATATGTAAATCTGTTTGGGTACATCACAAATCGCCAATTACCGAACACAATCACTACCCATCGAAAGCATCAAAGGATGCCCGCAAAAAGTTTACGTCTGTCCACAACGTGCGTTTGACAGCTAGGGATGTGAACGTATGCCTATAGTCGATTGTGGGCAAAATCGATTATTACATATCGCGCACCCAGTACGGTATTGAAATATTTAAAATTTTCATTTATTTGAAATTAGACTCTAAAATTATTATTTTGGAGTGGATTTTCCAATGTGAATATTTTTTTAATTAATCCAGTACTATGTCATTTTTTTTATATAGTTCGATGGTGGCAAACAAGCATACGGTCCATCTGGTTGTAAATGGCTTCCATAGCCTATGGATGTTTGAAATACCCTGGCGTTGCAGGAGTCCATTACAGTGCGGCGATGAAGACACGTGGGTGTCACGTAAGCGTTGCCGACTCTTAATATACCCTTCTTGAAAAACCCCATGCTATACTTAATTCCGCAATCTAAGTGTACGCGGGAGGAAGCTCCTCTGAAACCGCACTGTCCGAGACCACTTAGGTTCTAGCGTGTGGGGATGAATTCCCTGTCGATGGCGAACGGTGCGATGGTAAAAGGTACCCGTAGGCATCATGTCGGATAATTCTTCATTGTTATATATTCGGTAGAACAGGCAAGTCTCACCTCAAGGTAAGTGGTTCGATACCGATATAGACATTGGAATTATCGTACTTTTTTATATAGTTCAAATGGCAATCTAGTTGACGATCCACCTGATGATAAGTGGTAACCGTCGTCTATATACATGAACAGCACTACAGATATCACGTTATCATGTGACACCCGTGTTACTGCTTATATGTTACCATTTCAAAGGACTAAAATGAGCTTCTTAACCAGTAATCTCACTGCCTAATATAATAATCTGCACCTACAACCAAAGCATCTTACAAAGCAAGCTGCTTGGCTGAAATACGTGAAACTAAGGTACACACACAGATGAGTTTTTTACAAAGTTGACCTCGATCATCGTCCCCTAGATAAATCTTTATGAACATAAGGGGTAAGATGATAGGTTTGCGTATCTGCCCGCCATACTCGTGAACGAGTGCTGCTTGTAGGGACTGGTCTGCTCTTGTCACTACCACTGATTTAATCTTATTGTGTATTTATATTTAACCCCAATAAATTAGTGCTGGTTGGTAGTTTGTATTCACACGCTTCGACTTGTAAAATGAGAACTTACAAGGATTATTTAAAACAGCAACACACAAGTTTCTTTCTTTTTGTGATGAGACAGCTTTCCAAATGTGCGGTAGATTAAAAAAATATTATGACTATTCTAAAGTGTTTAAATTAAGTTTATTTGGATAAATTATTTCTATTCGCAGAATAGGACCTGCCTATCTTAAATTATTAGCCTATTTTTTTACCTATTCTAATGCTGTTGGCATCTGATCTTTACCCCGTCACCGAAATATAGGAAGTGGCAGTAAGTCCTTACGGAGCGCTGAAGGACTTACGGAGCGGCTAAAGGCCAACTCCCGCCTGACGGATACGCCTTTAATAAAAAAATATTTAAATATGTTTCTATTTCACACGAATTAAGGCATATGCATGATCTACGATTTTATGTAGTTTTTTATATGTTAATATATAATAGAGGATTCTTTTCGAACAATTCTTATGTTGCTGGCTACTGGCCTTTTCAGCCTTAAAGCTTTTACCCTTGAAAATGAAGATACTTCCATACAACTTTTCATCTCCCTTATAACTCCCTTACAACACTTTTTTCGCATTAATAAGTAGCCTATATCCTTTCTTAGGGTCTAGACTATCTATGTACTACATTTCATTTAAATCGGTTCAGTAGTATTGGCGTGAAATCACGACAGACAGTGTTACTTTCGCATTTATAATATTCAATTCAAATTCAAAATCATACAACATTACATCTCCCCTATCAACCCGTTACAACCCTTTTTTCGCATTGAAAAGTAGCCTATGTCCTTTCTCAGGGTCTAAACTATCTGTGTACCAATTTTTATTTAAATCGGTTCAATAGTTTTGGCGTGAAATAACGACAGAGTTACTTTCGCATTTATAATGTTAAATTCAAATTCAATCATCATTTATTTAGAATATCTGAGCCGCTTATGAACGTCAAATATTTTATATTATAAATTTTACCCTACCGTCAATTAGTAAGGATATATGATAGTGGAGTATTTTTTTTTACTGTACTAATATAGTGATTTTTTCGAACCACTCTAATGTTGGCCGCAGCTGAGCTTTACAGCTTCACCGAACGATAGGGGGCGATTGCAGATGGCACTCCAAACCCGCGGAAGGACTCACGGACCAACTCCGGATAATTTTTCATTCTCATCAAGCTAACATCCCTAGATATGCGGGTGGGTGTAACGGGGGTTGTTGGGGGGTTGTCAGGGGGTGTACGGCGGTGGGGGCGTACAAATTACCTGTCTATAACACTCACCTGTTCGAGACTACGATTATTGATAGTTGAGATCTGAATTGTTCGGATTTGATGATTGCCTAATGATTTCTGAAGGACGCAGTTTTCGTGTACATTTTAGAATTACATTGATGTTCTAAATAGTTTTTACGACCTCGGTTGTTTAGCGGTTTGGAAAGAAAAAGAAAGAATGAAAATTGTTTTTTGATACATAATAATTTTTAAATTTTATATTACATTATATAGGTTTATATTCATTTCATAGTACCAAATAGGTCTCCACTCAGCATATGTCGTGACGGGGTGCCACCACGCTGATATTCTGCGGATACGTTCATAAGTATCTTTACATATAAATAAAATTGTAGTGCCTGTTTGTAATATTGAAATAACCGTTTTTTACTACATGCATATGAATATAAATACGCTACATACACCAAAAAGACATTTTTTACAATTTTTGTCTGTCTGTCTGTTTGTTTCGGCTAATCTCTGAAATGGCTGGACCGATTTTGACGAGACTTTTTTTGGCAGGTAGCTGTTGTAATAAGGAGGAACTTAGGCTACTTTTATTTTAAAACAAATATTTTATTTTAGAAAAATAAAGTTAAATGCCACACGGACAAAGTCGCGGGTTCGATTCCTCGCACGGAACCAACATTTGTATTCGAGAGTATGTTTGTTTGTATCGGTCTGGGTGTTTTCTATTTATAATATGTATGTATTTACGAAAAAAAAATATCTGCGTACTTGTATCAATTATCTAGTACCCGTAACATAAGCTTTAGCTAGCTTAACTTGGGACTAGATGACGCTGTGTGAATTGTCCTGAGATTATTATTATTATTGTTAAAATAAATAAAATTTCTAAAATTAAAGTAGCCTAAGTTTCTCCGTATAACGTTAGCTATCTACGAGTGAAAGTCCCGTTGAAATTGGTCCAGTTGTTTCAGATTAGCAGAAACAAACAGACAGACAGATATAATTTTTTTTAAATAATATATTATTAATATAACCACAGTATGTACATTCATACGTTCTTAGTGAAGAGCCGTTAATTTGAAACTATAAACAGAGACTTCAGTTTTATTTATTTATATAGATTTTTAAACAACGATATTTTTTTATGGATGTTTATGGTATGGTGCACCCGCCTGCGCTAGCGGTTTACGCTGGCGGGGCACCAGTGGAGAATAATAATGAACTGAACTGAGGTCAGGTCAGTTAGCACATCGTGACAAATTCACCAGGAATTTATCACGATAGTTTCCAAGGGGAACCTGTATGTACATCACAGTGCGTAATTCCATTATCATCCATAAGAAATAGAAATAGAAATAATCTTTATTCAAATAAACTCATTACAAGCACTTTTGAATAGTCATATTTTGATTCTACCACTCATTCGGAACGTAGACTCATCACTAAAAGAATGAGCAAAAAACTTGTGTGTTGCTCTCTTGAATAGATGTTTTTTTATATAAATAATAACAGTATAACAAGTAAGAGGCATGTGATAATCAACATAGAAACTGCTACGCACTCATTCTTAGTGCAATCAGATAATATTGTCAGCGCTATGGATTTTAAGTTTTTCTATAAAAACGATATCCTTTGTAAGAAAAAGATATCCCTTCATTTCCCTCCAGAAAAGGTGGTCACTCACGGATCGCTGGCTCGCCTCTTCACCCCTGGTTCTCCAGGAGTCTGCTGCTGAGGTGCGAAGATATCGCTGCTGTCTCCACCTGACTCCAGGATGAGGTGCTCATGAGACCTGACGTACTGCAGCGGGGTCTGTGGAAATATTTTATGATTAGTAATCTTATTGTTATCTATACATATTATTTTTATTTTTAAAAGAGCAACACACAAGTTTCTTGCTCATTCTTCTTGTGATGAGTCTGCATTCCGAATAAACGGTAGAATAAAAAAACTTGACTATTCAAAAGTAATTACATTAAGTTTATTTGAATAAAGATTATTTCTATTTCTATTTCATGTAAATAAAATTGTAGTGTCTGTTTGTAATATTGAAATAACCGTTTTTTACTACATGCATATGAATATAAATACGGTACATACTCCAAAATATTTTGTTTTCAATTTTTATCTGTCTGTCCGCGTGGAATTTAGTTTTCTAATATAAAAGTAGCCTAAGTTACTCCTTATTACATCAGCTACCTTCCTATAGAAGTCCCGTCAAAATCGGTCCAGCCATTTCAGAGATTAGCTGGAAGAAACAGCCAGACAGACAGACAAAAATTGTAAAAAATGTTATTTTGGTGTATGTGTCGTATTTATATTCATATGCATGTACTGCCTATAAAAGTCCCGTCAAAATCGGTCCAGCCATTTCAGAGATTAGCTGGAACAAGCAGCCAGACAGACAGACAAAAATTGTAAAAAATGTTATTTTGGTGTATGTATCGTATTTATATTCATATGCATGTAGTAAAAAACGGTGCTTTCAATATTACAAACAGGCACTCCAATTTTATTTAAATGTATAGATGGCAAAACAACGTTTCCCAGTCACCTAGTAATTTATAAAAAAATACACCGACCTGCTTCGCTCTACGTGCCCGGGCGTGTAGATCTCTTTGAGCAAGGGGCAGCAACGCCCGAAGGAAACCAGGAACTGAAGCTCGAAGAGGGTAGTTGGTGCACTCCTGGACTCCGGCCTGGAACTCTTCTATATTCAGCGTCCCGGACTGTTAGGATGAAGTAATAACATCTTATAAATATTGCCGTTTGGGCAATGAAGTCTCGAGTGGCGACCACGAACCGGAAGACGCAGCGTGAAAGGCCTCGAGCAAGGTGGACCGACGATCTGGTCAAGATCGCTGGAAGGCAATGGATGCGAGCAGCGCAGGACCGATCGTCGTGGAGGTCTATGGGGGAGGCCTATGTCCAGCAGTGGACGTCTTACGGGCTACGATGATGAATATTATAAACGCGAAAGTTTGTGAGTATGGATGAATGTTTGTTACTCTTTCACACAAAAACTACTGAACGGATTTTGATGAAACTTTTTAGCAATATAGCTTATGCATCAGAATAATATATACTTAGGCTATATGTTTATTGAAATTTATATACCTATTGAAACTAGTATATCTAAATATATATAACTCAAAGGTGACTGACATAGTGATCTATCAACGCACAGCCCAAACCACTGGACGGATCGGGCTGAAATTTGCCATGCAGGTAGATGTTATGACGTAGACATCCACTAAGAAGGATTTTGTTTAATTCTACCCCCAAGGGGATAAAATAGCGCATGAAAGTTTGTATGAAACTTTGTCAATTTCAAACCGATCGGCCTGAGACTTTGCATGCATAAAGCTACTATGACGTAGGCATCCCCTAAGAAAGGGTTTTGATGAATTCCACACCTAAGAGGATAAATTAACGCGAGCGAAGCCGCGGGCAAAATCTAGTAAATAATAAGTATAAGATATATTGATTTGTTGAAGACCTCGGTGGTCTAGTGGTTTAGGACACCGCTTTCCGTCCGATGGTCGCGGGTTCGATTACTCGCACGGCACAAACATTTGTATTCATGAGTGTGATTGTTTGTATCGGTCTGGTTGTTTTCTATATATAATATGTATGTATTTACGAAAAAAAAAACTTATATATTTGTATCAGTTGACTAGTATCCATAAGACAAGCTTTAGCTAGCTTAACTTGGGTCTAGATGGCGCTGTGTGAATTGTCCTGAGATTTATTATTATTATATTATTGATATGGTCAAACGATCCGTGAAACTGATATAGTTACAGACCATACTTACATACTTAGAGGAACATAAATTTACATAAACACCTAAAAAAGAAGATAGAGAACAGAAGAATACTTACAACAAGATTGTATATCAGCTGACGCACCCTTTCACCAGTGTCCACGCCAACGTCTGCAGCAAACTGCTGCAGCGCTGACAGGAAGCGGCGCAACCGCTGCAGCGCTGGAGCGGACCTGGATCCTTCTGCTAGAGGTGGTGAGAGGGACTCCGTTGATGACAACGTGGCTGGATGGGAAATAATCATGTAATTAGAGTAGAGTAGAGTAGAATAGAATAGAATAGGATACAATAAAATACAATAGATAATCCTTTATTCAAACAAACTACTTTAATCAAACTTTAATCGATAGTATAGGATAGCATAGGATAGAATAGGATAGAATAGGATAGAATAGGATAGAATAGGATAGAATAGGATAGAATAGGATAGAATAGAATAGTATAGGATAGAATAGGATAGAATAGAATAGTATAGGATAGAAAAGGATAGAATAAAATACAATAAATAATCCTTTATTCAAATAAAACTTAAATTAATGCTTTTTTAATAGTCTTATTTTTTTTAATCTACCATTCATTCAATAAGCAGTCATATCACAAGAAGAACGAATTTTTGACATATAGATATATTTCTTTATTTTACGGAGTCAGCTAGTAATATCTAAATATATATAACTCAAAGGTGACTGACATAGTGATCTATCAACGCACAGCCCAAACCACTGGACGGATCGGGATAAAATTTGGTATACAGGTAGATGTTATGACGTAGGTATCACCTAAGAAAGGATTTTGATTAATTCTACCCCCAAGGGGATAAAATAGGGGGTGAAAGTTTGTATGAAACTTTGTCAATTTTAAACCGATCGGCTTGAGACTTTGCATGCATAAAGCTACTATGACGTAGGCATCCCCTAAGAAAGGATTTTGATAAATTCCACCCCTAAGGGGATAAATTAACGCGAGCGAAGCCGCGGGCAAAAGTTAATATATATATAATAGATACAGACTTTATAATAATAAATTACCTGTTGTGCCATTATTCTGTGGACTGGGTGGTCCAGGCGTGGGGGAGGACCTCGGATCCTCCACACCTTGTTCTGGAGATCTTCTCTCTTTGCCAGCAGTGTTAGCTGTAACAATCAAAAGTATTTATAACATTATTTATACATATAAATAAAATTGGAGTGTCTGTTTGTAATATTGAAATAACCGTTTTTTACTACATGCATATGAATATAAATACGGTACATACACCAAAATAACATTTTTTTTCAATTTTTGTCTGTTGATTCCGGCTAATCTCTTATATGGCTAGACCGATTTTGACGGGACTTTTATTGGTAGGTAGCTGATGTAATAAGGAGGGACTTAGGCTACTTTTATTTTAGGAAAATCAAGTTAAATCCTCGGACGAGTCGCGAGAATAGCTAGTATAATTATATAAATAATGTATATGAAACATGAAAGTTTACAAATACTATTGTAGAAGACTTACTTTCTCATTTACAATATTAGTATCTCAATACGCCAGAAAAAAAATGAAATGTGTTACAAAATATTTTCATTGTAAAATATCTTGTTATAAAATTGATGAATTTATAAATGATAATAATGTTTTCGTAGAAAATATCTAACTTAAAATTCATAGCGCTGACAATGTTATCTGATTGAACAGAGATTAAGTGCGTAGCGGTTTCTATGTTGATTGTCGCATGCCTAATCCTTGTTGTTAATTAAATATAATTAAATCAATTTTTATTTAAAAGAGCAACACACAAGTTTCTTGCTCATTCTTCTTGTGACGAGTCTGCATTCCGAATAAGAATAAAAAAATGTGACTATTCAAAAGTGCTTATATTGAGTTTATTTGAATGAAGATTATTTCTATTCTATTCTAGTAAGGGTATACCCGTCCGCTATCTGTATGGCCTCGGCAGCACGAGGACTATGCAAACAACGCCGGCCGGCGCGGCGAGACCGTGCCGATGCATAACGGTATCCGTTTAATAACTTATATTGAACGAAAAGGAATCAAACCGAAACTGTTTCGGAAATAAATACATTTGAAATTTCTAGAAATTTTCTATTCTATTCTATTCCACGAATCATAAATACAAAATTAAATATTACAAGTAATCCCTTATAAAAGAAACTAATTAATTGTTGCTAAGACCATCATATCAGATCAGATATCAAACAAAAAAACGCATCATAATCGGTTCATTAATATTGGAGCTACGATGACCACAGACAGATAGATAATAATAACCAGCAAAAACTGAGAAAATGCAATAATAGTGTAAATAATAATAATAATATAATAATAATCTCAGGACAATAATTCGCACAGCGTCATCTTAACCTAGACTCAACTTAAGCTAGCTAAAGCTTGTGTTATAGGCACTAGATAACTGATATAAATACATAGATATTTCATAAATACATATATATTATACATAGGAAACACCCAGACCGAACAAACAATCATATCCATGAATAGAAATGTTTGCACCGAGGAATCGAACCCGCGACCACTGGACCAATACAGATACACAGATACTTCAAATTTACTTCCCTCTTTTTGCGTTGAGATAAAAGTAGAATATTCTGTTTACATAATATTGATATAGTTAAATGTGCCTGCAAAATTCGTGAGTTCCGTTGCCTCGTCCGATTTTATGCGCGATGTAACAAAATAAATAGGATTATCTATGCGCTAGCACGCAACTCATCGCGCGGTTTGCACAGCCTCCGATAGTCTATGGTTCTGGGGCTAGGAAACTAGCGGACTGTATGTTTATTAGGAAACCTTCTATACTAACAATGAAACTCGTAATCACTAAACATATATCTTTATTTTGTACTGTTCCAAGCATTAGATCACTTTAAAAACTGTTATAATATATTTAAGTAATAAATATGACAATATATTCTATGCACTCTCTATGTCTCTCTCTATTCTGTACGATCCTAATTATCCTGAATACATTAGCAGCAAATTTCATTTCCATGAGGTCAACACGGATCGCTCTCTTCGCACTACTAGAAAATTATTACTTTATATCCCGGCTCATTTGTCTCGTTTCGTTCATTATTGTAAATTAAATAATGTAAATTTAATGTTGTAATAGGTGAAAACTGTGATCGGTACAGCCTATGCTGTAAATAATATAATTGACGTAGTGGAGTAACCTGAAACAGTCATGCTCGCTATAAAGTTCAAACTTGTGGCGGCGTGGTGGGCCGGGTCGATGTGCTCCCTCAAATATGGTTGAGTACAATGATGGCTGGCTCATACGTCATACTCGTGAACGGGTGCTGCTTGTGGGGACTGGTCTGTTCAGGTTGTGAACACTGATTAGTTTTTTTGTTCTTTGCGATAGCATATGCTGGTGGTCACTCTATTCTCCCAAATTTGAATTTTAATAACTGTATTTATCATAAACATGTTCCACTATTATTTGAAAAAAAAATACGAGCTGAGTTTCTTGTTCTTCTCATCTCGATATCATTCCGAACTGACGGTAGATTTGACATATCATAAGAGTCTGTAATAGACCTACATGAATAAAGATATTTTGAATTTGAAATTGAATTGTTTCGCCATTCAGGCAATCACACTTTGGCACGACTTACCTCTTCATATCAAAACCGCCACGAGTAGGTTTTCTTTCAAACGTAAATTACGGGAACATTATTTAAACTTGTAACCTTTCCTGTGTCCTGTTTTCTCATTGTTTTTTATTGTTACGTATACATTTTTTTTAATTCCATTATTTGTGGCAGTACATGATATTTCATTGTCAGATTATTAAATATGTATTTACGTATGGTTTATGTAAGTATATATATAAATATATGTAGTTATTTATTCATATATATTTTTATGTGTATCGTTTAATATATTTTTTATATTTGCACCGCCAACAATTATTCTCTGCACCACCCATGGTTGACTGGTAGATAATGCCGCATGATGTTAAGTCCGCCATATGTACTTTCAATTATGTGCATTAAAGTTTTAATAAATAAATATTTTCTCTACAGTTTCCATCTGGTCTCTATAATATTACATCCTTTTTTTTATGTCAATATATTTTGGCGCCAAAGTTATTTCACCTTTTTAAAATGGACTACAGGCAACGGAACAAACCCAAACAGTTATAATATTGAGACAATATTCAAAATGGAATATTTAACACTGTATATGAAACACCCTTCATGAAGGAGGGCTACTGGTCGAAAGGTGTGGTGTATCGGCGCTACCGTGGCAGATTGTCATCAGTGCCGTGACCACATAGACAATATCAATATATTAAAATAGAATAGAATAGAAATTCATTTATTCAAATAAACTTACATTGAAGCACTTTTGAATAGTCATCACATTTTTTTTAATCTACCGCTCATTCGGAAAGCTGTCTCATCACAAGAAGAACGAGAAAGAAACTTGCGTGTTGCTCTTTTAAATAATTTTGTTTTTACTTTACATTGTTAAGTTGAAGTGTGTGAATACAAACTAACAATTAGCACTAATTCAATTAAATACTCAAATAGAGAAAATATTAAATATATAACCAACATAAGCTAGCTAAAGCTTGGGATATGGGTACTAGACAACTGATACAAATACATAGATATTTCATAAATACATATATATTATACATAGAAAACACCCAGACCGAACAAACAATCACATCCATGAATAGAAATGTTTGCACCGAGGAATCGAACCCGCGACCACTGGACCTGAATTTCACCATCGAACTACCCGCCAGAAACTAAACTACCATCTTGATCATCTGGACGAATGGCGGTCCTCCACTATGCGTTTTTCAAGAATCTTTTTTGCCGCGCACAACCACATTGTGGAATCATCTTCCAGCAATGGTATTTCCGAACCGATACGATATTGAAACCTTTAAGAACAGAGCTTATTCTTTCTTAAAAGGCCGACAACGTACAATTCCCCTGGTGTTGCGGGTGCTCATGGGTGGCTGTAATCACTTACCATCAGGTGGCCGCTCGTTTGTCACCTGTGCTATAAAAAAAACATGATATCAAGTCGAAACGAGTGTGTTGCTCATTTTATCATCCTTGTTTGCCCCGCATTTTACAGCGTAAACTGTGAATACAAACTACCAACCAGCACCATTTCATTATCATAAAAAAAATAAATGTATCATGTCAGTGATGACATCCAAACGGCCGGCCCCTGGACACCATCGTTATAAATTCCATCAGGTGAATTTACCACGATGTGCTATAAAAAAAACTGGATTTCTATTTGATCTCATGGCTCATCAAAGATTACATCCCTTTTCCACTGCCCCACTAGCGTAAACCGTTAGCGAAAGCGAGTGCACCATTTCATTAATATAAATTAGAAAAAAAAGACGCCATGTTTCTCTGTCCAGCGCTTTCCTTCTCCATGATAGTTCACCTACTGTCCTTATATCATCCTGCCATCTCTTTTTCGGCAAGATTTTGACAGTACCAGTTTCACTCCATGAGTATTGTCCCCAAGTTATAAAAGGAGATTAATCTTTGGATCTACTGAACCAACTTTGAAAATTCTTTTACGAATAGAAATCCACGTTTTTTTTATAGCACAGGGGACAAATCGTGGTAAATTCACCAGGAATTTATCATGATGGTTTCTAGGAGCAACCGTGTCAACCTGAACTGAACCCCATTGTTAGCAATATACAATCATTGCTAGCAATGGGGTCCACATTACTAACAATTCCCTTCTCTTTAATGGACTCTATTGGAAGAGGCTTATGTCTTAGGACAAGCTGACGAACCTAGGCAGTGCAACAGCAACGAACAAAAAGATTAACTTCACTATTACTATAAAGGCTATAAATAAATAAATAAATAGATAAATAAATAAATAAAAAGTTATATCTATATTAATAATAATAATAATAATAATCTCAGAACAATTCACACAGCGCCATCTAGTCCCAAGTTAAGCTATCTAAAGCTTGTGTTATGGGTACTAGATAACTGATACGAGCACATAGAAATTTTTTTCCGTAAATACATACATATTATACATATAAAACACCCAGACCGATACAAACAATCATACTTGAATACAAATGTTTGTGCCGTGCGAGGAATCAAACCCGCGATTATCGGACGTAAAACGGTGTAGACCGCTAGACCACCGAGGTCGTCAACTGGTCATTGTATAAATTTCTGCTTTGATTTTTTGTACGGCGTCTGAATAATTTGAAATAAACTATAACATGGTAAGTATTAGAGAAAGCAAAACACTAAATACTCTGCCGGTGACAGAATAAATAAAAGTTCGGCGAGCTAGTGGTGTGCCGAGTGCGGTCCCGTGCCAGGAACACGCGCCCTCTGCACTCTAGTGATGTGCCGTCGAATAAATTTATCGATATGATATTATCTTTATTCTTACTAATCTTAATGGATGATAATGTAATGGAGCGTCCGCCTGCGCTAATGGTATACGCTGGCGGAGCACCAGTGGAGTATGATAAGATGAGAATGAGGTCAGGTCAGTTAGCATATCGTGACAAATTCACCAGGATTTTATCACGATGGTTTCCAGGGGGAACCGCGTGGAGGTCAACCTGACGTGGTACATTGCTAGCAATAAGATAGTCCACATTACGAACAATCGCCTTCTTACTAATATTATATAAACACGAAAGTTTATGAGTATGGATGAATAGATGGAATTTTGTTAGTCTTTCCTGAAACAACTCTTGAACGGATTTTGATGAAACTGATTTGTAAGCTTTATAATACTAATATTAAAGCTTATAAGTCAGAATGACACATCTTTATATATACAAATTACGTGTCCGCGATGGACTTCTAAACTACTGAACCGATTGCAAATTTGATTTGCACATTGTGTGCAGTTTGATCCAACTTTAAGATAGGATAGCTTACATCTCAATTTATAGTCGCAATATTATTTTATAGTAATCGATCGTTTTTCATCAATCACTGACCTACTAGGAGACTATGACACCGTTGACCAATTCCAGTACCTTGGCTCCGTGATCACAAACCGAGGCGGCTGCGAAACTGAGATACGTCGACGAATCGCCATGGCTAAGACAGCAATGACCCAATTGAGCAAAGTATGGAGAAACAGAAACATCACCAACAAAACCAAAATACACCTGATACGATCACTGGTTTTCTCCATCGCGCTATATGGTGCAGAGACATGGACCCTCAAAGCCGCTGATAGGCAAAGAGTTGATGCCTTTGAAATGTGGTGCTGGCGTCGACTATTGAGGATACCACCACCAGTACAAACACCGTACAAACGTCTCTATTCTAAAGAGCTCTAATTGGAAGAGTCACAGCGGCTGTCTTCTACTTGTCTGCAGCGCATTGTGCGATACTTCGGACACATCGAGCGGAAGGATGTAGACAATATGGAGAGACTGATGGTAACAGGGAAGATAGAAGGTAAAAGACGTCGAGGCCGAAGTCCCATCCGATGGTCAGATCAAATATCACGTCAACTGAACATTACTATCAGCGCCGCAATACATCAGGCATCTGAGCGCAGCAGATGGCGCCGGCTAGTCAACAAGATAGTATAGAGTCACGATACTCAGCAGTGAGGGAACGATTAAGAAGAAGATTATTTTATAGCAAACATCAAAATTTTTATTTTATCTCGATATCGATAACGTGCTACGGTGAGTCACTACTCGTTATCGAGTGCTGCGCGTGGCAGGCGACACCTCGCCCGGGGCGACGCTTTCATCTCCCCCCACAATTACTGTGTGAAAATATTGTACAATGATATTAGAAAATTGTCCGCGCCGTGTTTAGATGAATATGGCGTTTTAATTGACCATTCTGGTACGATTTCACTTTAACTTAACACTAACTGATGGTCGTGCGTTATGAATGAGTTTTTTATTGGCTTTGGGGTATTGTCAGGTGCTTGGACCTGTAGCACTGCGACCTACATAGATCTATTGTGCTCGCCGTTTTCAGAGTTCGCTACCTAGACCCGTCAGGGACAAGAATTGAAGGATATTCTTAGGAGCGATGGTTTTTATTAAGATAGAGTGTATACTTTCCAAAGAAGATATTTCGTTTATACCTGAGTGGGCTACATACATGTAATAGGTTGGGTTTGACTAATTCCTCTGCTCTGAGAGTGTGTGAATACTTTAAATCTAAATATATATAACTCAAAGGTGACTGACGTAGTGCTCTATCAACGCATAGCCCAAACCACTGGACGAATCGGGCTGAAATTTGGCATGCAGGTAGATGTTAAGACGTAGGCATCCGCTAAGAAAGGATTTTTATTAATTCTACGCCCAAGGGGATAAAATAGGGGATGAAAGTTTGTATGAAACTTTGTCAATTTTAAACCGATCGGGCTGAGACTTTGCATGCATAAAGCTATTATGACGTAGGCATCCTCTAAGAAAGGATTTTGATAAATTCCACCCCTAAGGGGATAAATTAACGCGAGCGTGCCGCGGGCATAAGATAATTTTATATATAAAATTCGCATATCACAATGTTAGTTACCATACTTTAGTCTCTAGTCTCCGAAATGGCTTGAACAGTTAGTACTGGTAGTTAGTAGTAGTGCACAGATAACATAATATGTAGGTGTATGAATCGGCTACAATCTATTTTCCATAATTCTATTTTTTTATTGGATTGTTTGGGCTATTATCAGGTGCTTGGGCCTGTAACACTGCCACCTACAAGTCATCTCTTTTGATCGACCTTTTTCAGAGTTCGCTACCTAGAACCGTCAGGGACAAGAATTGAGGGATATTCTTAGGAGCGATGGTTTTTATCTCTTCAGGATAGAGTGTTTACTTTCCAAACTCTCATTATATTTCATATATAATAACAGGTAAGAAATTGGTTCTTACTTATTATACTGTAATTATTATATAAAAAAACATCTATTCAAAAAAGCAACACACAAGTTTCTTGCTTATTCTTCTTGTGATGAGTCTGCATTCCGAATGAGTGGTAGAATCAAAATATGACTATTCAAAAGTGCTTGTAATGAGTTTATTTGAATAAAGATTATTTCTATTTCTATTTCTATATATAATATACATGGTTATTTATGTATTTATGTATTTTTATAAATATTTTAGGCACGCTAGGCGCGAGTCGGCTACAGAGCTAATATTACATGTTAAAACGTAAATAAAAATGTGTAAAATTTTACAATCAAAGTCAGTTATGAGGCAAAGCAGCTATATATAATATAGCATGGGTTCCAGGGAGTCTTTGCGAGAGTGCTTTAAGGAATCAAATATCCTCACCGTTGCTTCTCAATATATTTATGAAAATATCATGTATGCCAGGAAGAATATAGACAGTTTCAAAAGAGTTAGTGATTGCACTAATAAAAGCTTACGTAACAATAACAAACTGATTTTACCTAAATGTCGTTTGGCTAAAGTTAGTAATTCGTTTTATGGCAATTGCGTAAGGTTTTACAATAAAATACCAGAGTCTGTTATAAATCTGCCAGAAAAAAAATTTAAATGTCAAATAAAACACTTCCTTTGCAAAAAAGCTTACTATAAAATTGAAGAATTCGTTAACGATAATAATGTTTTTGTAGAAAAATTTTAAATACATAGCACTGACAATATTAATTACACTAATAATGAGTGCGTAGCGATTTCTATGTTGATTGTCGCATGCCTCTTACTTGTTACACTGTAATTATTTATATAAAAAAACATCTATTAAAAAGAGCAACACACAAGTTTCTTGCTCATTCTTCTTGTGATGAATCTGTATTCCGAATGAGTGGTAGAATCAAAATATGACTAATCAAAAGTGCTTGTAATGAGTTTATTTGAATAAAGATTATTTCTATTTCTATCAAATCGTGCCCAACACTAGAGCTGCGTGTAAGTAGGGTACATGCACCAATCGTCGGACACGGCCCGTGCTAGTTTACGCTGACAGAATGATGGGTGGTGGCACTTGCCTCCGAAGGACCGTAAAGAGCCACTACACTCGTGATGAATGAGTTGGGTTTGACTAATTCCCCTGCTCCGAGGGTGAGTATGTGTATGTGCATACCCTGATATTATATATACATAATTTTCTATTGAAATCTATTAAAATTGTATAATCAGTATATAGTTATTGAGCGCAGACCACAACTAATGACCCAATTAATAATAATAATAATAATAATAATGTCTCAGGACAATTGACACAGCGCCATCTAGTCCCAAGCTAAGCAGAGCTTGTGTTATGGGTATTAGACAACTGATATAAATACATGGATACATTTTTTTTTGTAAATAAATACATAATATACATAGAAAACACCCAGACCGATACAATCTCATGAATATAAATGTTTGTACCGTGCGAGGAATCGAACCCACGACCATCGGAGAGTAAAGCGGTGTGCTAAACCACTAGACCACCGAGGCTGTCATATAATTGTTAGTAATAGTGCTTTCTTATTGTTTTTTTTTTTATGACTATTGAATAAATTCAAATTTAAAAATAATTTATTCATGTAGGACATTTTAGCCGCTTATGAACGTCAAATTTATTTATATTATAATTTATTCCCTACCATCCAGTTCAGTAAATAGATCCAATTGAGAAGAATTGGGAACTTATTTTCTTTCTTTCTTTCTTCTTTAAGTTTGTATGGTTGTATAATCAGTAGTAAGTGGCTGATTGCAGATCTATTCCGTACCAAAATTAATGATGCAACTGTTAATAATAATGTATTTTTAATTGTTTCTTTTACGTGTAATAAACGTATTTTCTTTCTTTCTTCATTAAGTATGTGTGGCTTTATAATAAATAGTAAGTTGCTTATCGCAGAACTATTCGTTATGGGTACTAGAAAACAAATATATTACTTAAATATTTTTTTGTAAATAAATTATATGCATAGATAACACCCAGACTAAACAATCATAATCATTATTTAAATATATATAACTCAAAGGTGACTGACATAGTGATCTATCAACGCACAGCCCAAACCACTGGACGGATCGGGCTGAAATTTGGCATGCAGGTAGATGTTATGACGTAGGCATCCGCCAAGAAAGGATTTTAATTAATTCTACCCCCAAGGGGATAAAATAGCGCATGAAAGTTTGTGTGAAACTTTGTTGATTTCAAACCGATCGGGCTGAGACTTTGCATGCATAAATCTACTATGACGTAGGCATCCGCTAAGAAAGGATTTTGATAAATTCCACCCCTAAGGGGATAAATTAACGCGAGCGAAGCCGCGGGCAAAAGCTAATAGAGTATAAGAAGTACATAGGTTTCGTTTTTAATTTTAGTCAGTCTCACACGAACAAAATCATAACTTAGTGTATATACATACATACATAACCATAATGTAACTGTAACATTTTGTTTTTGCAGCCAAAATCCCGGTCGCACACACCCCCTCCCCTCTTCGTCGCAGCGTGCGGGACCTGCCTTGTGAGGGACATCAGAAGCAAGTCCCGCAATCACCCGCCGGCAACTAGCGCTGTGGGACAGTGAGGTGCGGACAATTTATCGATATTTCTCGATTTTCGATTTTTATCGAAAAACATCGACGTAATCTTATGTGGCTGTCTCAAATGTTAGGACACTGTATAATTTTTTTCGGACTGCTCTAGTGTTGTTGGCTGGCCTTTACAGCTTCACCGGGTGAAGGGTGGTGCGAGCAATTTATCGATATTTCTAGATACACGATTTTTATCGAAAAACTTCGACGTAATCTTATGTGGCTGTCTCAAATGTTAGGACACTGTATAATTTTTTTCGGACTGCTCTAGTGTTGTTGGCTGGCCTTTACAGCTTCACCGGGTGAAGGGTGGTGCGAGCAATTTATCGATATTTCTAGATACACGATTTTTATCGAAAAACATCGACGTAATCTTATGTGGCTGTCTCAAATGTTAGGACACTATACTTTTTTTCGGACGGCTCTAGTGCTGTTGGCCGCATCTGACCTTTACAGCTTCACAGGACGATGGCTCGATACGACTGGAGTAATTTATAAAAACAGTGGTCGCCCAGTGGCCGAAATTTGACCACCTTTGAACCCGCAATAAT